CACTCACTTCTACTCAGGTATCAGCTGATTGAATTTTCTGCCACACTGCAGAAAACAGCAGTTTTATATCGGTTCGAGCTGCCTCTTTGACCTCAATCGCAGTTGTTAAACATTTACAAAGGGATTATTTCCTGTTAAGTGTGTGCTCCTTATACAACAGCAGTGAGCACACCCCAGTTCAATTTCACTGAAATATCAAATGTCAACTGAAAGAAGGTTTTTTTGGTCGGATGAGACCAAAATGGAACTTTTTGTTCGTCAGACCTGACATTGTGTTTGACAACACCAAACACTGCACATCATCATAAACACACAATCCCCACTGTGGTGGCAGCATCATGATGTGAAGCATGGTGGTGGCAGCATCATTGTATGACGACGCTTGTCAGCAGCAGGCTGACAGGTAGAGGGTCAAATGAATGCAGCAAAGTATGGAGACATTTTGGATAAATAAATTCTTTATTTATTCTTTTGACACAAGAGTTTTGTAAATTCTTGCAAAAACAATGTCATTTGGAGGTCAAATGTTTAAAAAGAATGAATTACTATTTACAAAAATACAGATTTTTATGTGATGTTCACATTATGTACAATTTTGGCCTCTTCTTTTTCCCTCTTTCTTCAGTAAACATGTAAATGAATACTTTTTGTCTGTGATTGTAGTGGAAATTATCTGTTGTTTATCAAAACTTCGAAAACCTGTACCAGTAAATTGTTACAGAAAATATAAAGTTATAAACTGAGGGAACTTTCTCTCAGTTCAGTTTCGTTTTGAGTAAGAACACTCCTCAAAGCTGCTCATTTATGGAAAAGAAAGTTCTATCGGTTAAACAGCACACAGGACAAAGTCTGAACATCATAAACATGTACAGTGTTTGTCTGCTTCATTTTACAGCTTACTGTTAATAATAGGAATGACTCAAAAAATACAGCTTCACTGTAATAAAGACCAGGTCACATCAGCAGGTTATCTGTAGCAGTAAATCCTAAAGATCTGCAGCATCACAGCAGCAGGTTCCATATGGGCCATTCATTATCTGCAATCATTAACTTCCCAGGTCAGTTAGGATCTAACGGTACAGTCTGTACTGTTGTACACTCAGGTGAGCTGCCACTGCAGGTAAATCGTTGGTGACACAGGTAACACCTCACCTGAGCTAGCAGGATGTTCTTATGTTTAAGTTTTCTCTCAATGTCCAAAATATTTTTCTGTCAGATGTTTCCATTGGTCTGATTTAACAGTATTTATATAATTGTGCACAACTCTGGAGGATCTGACCTGTCTAATCATTAACTCTATATATGCTCTATATGGAGACACTAAAACACATTTTATGGCACCAAACTGAAAGTAGGCCACATCACTTTTCAATTCATTGTGTTGTAGTTTTCATTTAAATTAATCAAATTGTCAGTCAGTCCCCCCTGTCCAGGGTGTCTCCAGCATTCGCCCTGAGTCAGCTGCGATAGGCTCCGGCCCCCTGGTGACCCCAGTGAGGAAGTTCCCACAAAGTCCACATTTTCACCTGTTGCCTCAAGTTTTCTTGTACATAAAGACAATTTTGTCATCAAATGACGCAGAAAAGACACACGTCACTGCATAAAGATTCACTGGAATACAGGAAATTACATGTTTGACGCTGAAAATTTGAAAAAAAAAAATCTCTTTATTTTCCTTTCTTTTTTTTACAACAGACTCAGTGCAAAGAGCTGTGAGCACAGCTACAACAGAAACATGAAAAATCTGCAGGAAAACTGATGAGTTTGGTTTATGTGAGAAATGCTGTGAAGTCAAAAATCATAAACTTCTACAACTATTACAGTGAAACATATTACAAAGCATGGTTTATGGGAGAATCAGAAGTCACATGATGCCATCTGAGAGGTTTCACCTTGATTATGTGTTCAACATGTAGAACATGAGACTTTCAGCAGACAGATGTTTACTGAAGAATCATCCTGATGGAAGCTACATGACAGTTGAACAGCAAGTTGTAGGATTCTCCTCCTTTCTTCACAAAGTCAGAAACTGTCTTTCTGCCATTGAACTGTTTGGTATACAGCGTCTGCAGGGAGAAATCACAGAGACAAACTGTGTTTCATATAGAACATATGTGGACAGCAGCTGGACTTTAGTTTTAGTCAGATATTCACCCTCCAGTTTGAGCTCATGTGTCTGGCACTGGACACCACTGTGTCGGAGGAGATGCCGTAGTTGTTTCCTTTATGGATGAGCCACTGAGAGTTGTCGGCCAGCGTCACTCTGACAATCAAACACACGTTTACTCACAGTTTTATATTGGAAATAAATAAATGCTTTTTGAACCAGCATTTGTCAGTCATCTAAAGATCTAGGCCTGGAGCTGAAAGATGAACTGTCAGGCTGTCAGTGATTTAGCTTTGTTAACTTTTAATTTTTAAATGCAAATTTCGTGACAAAGTGACTAAATATCTGTTATGTGACGTGATTCAGCTGCGACTTGTGTTGCGATGGCTGACGCTGCTTCCTGCACGCGAAGATAACACAACCAGACAAAGTCCTAAGACACACTGAATGATTTCAATGTGTTTCCTGATCATTTGGGCCCAGTTCAGTGACTCACCGGACTCCAGTGTGGCTCAGCTGTCTCATGACTGGAGATTCCAGCGGTCGAATCATCCACTCAGCTTGGTAAACTGGAGAGTTGTAGAGATCGGTCAGGTCCTGACCCGACAAATCGTAGTTGTAGTTGTTGTAGCTGCCTGCAATGAAACAGCAAATCAGTTCTATTTAATTCAAACATCACAGAAAGTAGTTTTAAATCCAAAGGACTCCTACCTGAGGAGGCCTCCGCAGAGACAGCCAACAGAGCCAGAACCACAGCACAGAGCAGCATGTTGAAGGAGATCACCTCTGGTTCTGTTTACTCTGCAAATCAGCGAGAGTTTAGATTTATGGAGTCCTGACCCTCCTCCCAGTTTGGACCTTCATATCCCATTTACCGTCATTGTTTGTCTTCTGGCAGATGTACCTGTGTTTCCGGACAACTGATTTCATCACATCAGGAGCTGATAGCAGGGGGAAAAAAAAAAAAGTAAATGCATTTTAAATACACATCAGAGCACTAAGTAATGAGAAACTGAAAAAACCTAATAATAAATAAAAAATTGTTAAATTATAATTTAGTGAAAGAAGACATTGCTTTTGAATTTTGGTTGAAAAGAGTAATTAAAAAAACAAATAAACAAAACTGTCCTGGACACATTAGAACACTTTACTGATGAGCAGTGGGCCAAAATCAAAATACCTGTCAGCAGGTGCAAAAGTCTGACTGAGAGTTACAGAAAACACTTGACTGCAGTGATTGGCTCAAAGGATTGTTCAACAAAATATTAGTTTACAGGTCCCATCATGCTTGTTTGTTTTTTTCTTGTTGTTGTTTTTTTTAAAAAAAATATTTCTGTGAAACCACAATTCAAAAGCAATGTTTTCATTACATTTTTTATTTATGATTACTTTTGTCAATTTCAACTTATTTCCGTGACAGATGTATTTTTTCCTTCTTTAATGGGAGGATATGAATACATTTGAGGACGACTGTAAGTAAAAGCACCACAATTTAAGTAAAAGTTCTGCATTCAAAATTCTACTTTTACTACTTGAGCCAAATGCCTGGCACATGGCAGCAAGTATGCATCCAGGTGACATGCTTGACAGCATTGTGACATCTTCAACTCCTGAAGGAGGTAAATATTGAATTCTGTGTTGCTCTCTACAGTCACTGTGCTGTCAGAGGATTATAAACTCTACCACATGCAGCAACATACCTTGTATTTTTGTCTCACAGTGTCTCGAAATTCACCTTTAACTCTTCACCTGAACACTTTATGATGACGTCTGTGGTGTCATTGCAATAATCCAAGTTTAAAGCGTGTGTGCAGACTCACCTTTTTTGTGTCGCCCTGTTTGTTTGAGGAGATACTGTGTAAAATAAGCTGATAATTGGATTATGACTTAATAAAGTATTTTCTGTGTTTGTTCCATTTCTGGAAAGTCATAGCCCCAAACTATACAAATGCGCTAAGACACAAATCCTCTCAACTCATAAAATTATTTGAAGAAATGAGTTTTTTGTTTTTTTAAGTTTTTAAAGAAAAACAGTAGCATCATGTGAATAAATTGGCATTTTATAGGGTTCAAATCTTAAGAAACAATGTAAATTAGTTTTTTGTGATCAAGACTGACCTTGGTAAAGAAAAATAATGCTATTATATACTATTTTATAGCTTTTTTTTTGTTTGTTTGTTTGTTTTGTTTTGGAAAAAGAACATTTTTATCATTAGGTCCTCTGTGTAACTTTTAAAGTTGAACTTGATGATTCAAACTGTGTTTTTATCTACCTGGATGAATATTTCTCAGGTCTGAATGTTATATTTCATGTTTCTTGTGTTGCTCACAGCTGCTGCTGGATGATTGAGAATCTACACAGAGAGAGTTTTCCTGAATAAAAGAGCAAAAACGGCTGATTTACAAGCAGAAAATTACAGAACGGAGAGGATAAAGTGTTTTTCCTGGAGTGTAAAACTGTGTCAGTCCTGTGAAGTTTGAGCAGCTCACAGAATGAAACCTGCGGCATCTCAAAGTTCATGTTTTTTGTGGATGTTGTAATTTCAGAAACTGGGCTGCGAGAAGCAAACACTGATCAGCGTCTCTTTGTTTTTCTGCCAAAACTTGACCTCTGTTCACTGTTCACAGGTTTTTCTGCTCACAAGTTTAAACTGGAGTCACTCTATGAACAAGATTCATGAATTTTAAACACATTTTAAAACACATTTTAAACACACAAATGTGTCTTTTTTCACGTTTATTTTTCTTACAAATCAAGTTGTCAGTCAGTGGAACAGTGTTGGACTAAAACCAGACATTTCTCTCCACATGTATAAAAACAGAAACAGGACCACTGTGGTTCTAAAGATGCATCCCAGCTGTCCTCTGATTGGCTGCAGCATACAGGAAGCTGTCAGGCGTACAGGAAGTTGTCGTGGTGGTAAAGGAAGGCGTCGCGGCTGCCGAACAGACTGGAGCTGCTGGAGCTGCTGACGCCACCGATAATGGGCAGGTAGGAGTGATGGAGGATGGGCAGCTGGACGGACAGACGGCGCCCAACGCTGACACACACACACAACAGCAAAAAAGTTATCTCAATAAATACAGGAGAAAATGGAAGGTTTGTATTTTCTGTTCAATATATATATAAAGTAAAATTTAAATGTGTAATAAATTAACATACACCTGAAGTTTATAAGTTCATAAATAAAGAATGTTCTTCATGTTAATCAATAAAATGACCATTTTAAAAAAAATCCTTCAACACATAAATAAAAAATTCACGTCTAAATATCTATTTTTTTTATTTAAAATGTAATTTGACCTTATTGTTCTATTAAAACTGCTTTCTATGATTTTACTAGATATAATCTATAATTTAGCACAAGAGAAAATCTGTGAAATGAGTTTATTATTTTATCTTTTACTAATTCTTTATATAATTTTTCTCTCAAATAACAGTAAATGTTAAATAATGTTTTCTTTTTTTGCTGATTTATAACTGACTAAATTTGTTGTTTAATGTTATAAAAGAACAAATACTGATTTTTGATGTGGACATTACTGACAGTTTGAGACTGTTTTATAGGATTTATATGTAAATTAATAGTTTTCCAGTGATTCTACTCGTTAATATCAGTAATTGGCTTCCAGTTGTTGCCCGCATCAAATTCAAAACCCTGACACTTTTTTACAAAACCACAACAAGAACAACTCCCTCCTACCTGAACTCTCTCATTTGGATCTACACTCCCTTCAGTTCACTACGCTCAACCAACAAAAGCCACCTGATACAACCACCACAACAGGACCAGAGGTCGATAGCTAGACTCTTCTCCTCTGTGGTTCCCTGTTGGTGGGACGCGTTACCAACCTCTGTTCAATCTGCTGACTGCCTCTCAGTCTTTAAGAAAAGACTAAAGACCAAACAAATAAATAAAAAAAGATCCTATTCCCCCCCACACAGCCTGCTATTGGCATCAACGTCCTGTCACACTTGAACTTGTTCTATGGCACTTATCCAGATCGTTTTCTGACTAGATCCTTGCTTGTGTTCTATCTGCTCTCAGATGTACGTCGCTTTGGATAAAAGCTTCTGCGAAATGAAATCGTAGAATTGTATTAATTTAACAAAACGGGGAAAATCTGAAAAACAACAGTGAACTGTTTTTTAAAGTGCAACTAAACATTTATTTTCTTTAGTTCAGTTCAATCTAAAGTCTAAATCTAGAGTAAAGTCTGTCTTCTTCATGGATGGTCACACATTCTATCGCTGGTAGAAAAGTGTTTTCACCATTAAATTCATTAGACTTTCGGGTGAATCGGCTGTAAAACAAGCTGCAAACACAGTGAAGGTGTCAGTTGAGGTGTTTTTACTCACTGCTCAGGTGAGTTGATGTCTTCTGCACCTGAAGCTCCTGTCTCAGAGGTTCTGATGCCAGCACAGACCTGAGCTTCATGAGTCCACCTCACACATCTGTGTTTACCTGCACACAACCAAACAGAAGGTTGCTGATGTTCGTCTGTGTGATGCTGATCAACTTTTTTTTCTTACTGTGACACACAAAGTTTCTGACAGCCTTTCTGCGTCACATGATGCTGGCGGTCACCTGGTTTCTCTTTCGTCAGGCGGTGAAGCGTCTCAAACTCTGACTCCTCACAAAGCTGCATGATGATGGTTTCTATTTGGACATCCAGCTGCAACAAAACACAACAGAACCAATAAACATACACATTTTCTTAACTATTACGGAATACAAGCACATTCTGTGTCTTTATATGCATAAAAAAGTTGGAATATGAGTTTGCAATGACTGAAATCTGATATAAAACCTCAAATCAAACAGTCTGATCACTGACAGCTTCTGGTTTTTAACAAGATTATTGATCTTTGGTGAGAAAAATGACCCTGAATATTCAGAGTGTCTGAACTTTATTTATCTTCATTGTTTGACAACCTGACAGGAAGTCAGTGAAGCTGTAAATGTTCAGCTTGCCAGTGAGTGAGTTGTGTGTCTGTGTTTGTATACAGGTTCAGTAAATCTGTGAGGTTAACGTACAGACGAGCAGAAATGTGTTCAGCATCAACTTATTTATCGTATTTCCATTCTTTTGTTTGTTTAATTCTGAACTTTTTTATCGTAAAATTTAAAAACAAAGCAGCTCTGAAAGAACAGGTGTTGCGTGTCTCATTTTTGTCGTTTTGTGTCTCTTTGGGACAGTTTTGGCTCTTTGTGGTCATTTTGTTTTCATTGTTTGTGTCTTTTTTATTTGTTGTTATTTTCTTGTTGTTTCATTTGTCACTAGTTGGTGTTTTTTTGTCGTTCGATGTTTGGTTTTGTTGGTTTCGGGTCTGTTTTTTTTTCCCATTGTACGTCTAGTTTTTGCGGTTCAGTGTCTGGTTTGTTAGTTTTGTGTGTACCTTTGACCTGACCTTGTCGTCCTCACCTGTGCAACCTGACTCTGCAGCTGCAGCTTTAGCCTGCTCTGCAGATCTTCATCCTCTGCAGCTTCACTCTGCAGCTCCGTTGGCAGCTGCAGATCGCTGCCGCGCAAACACACCGACACAACCTGTGAACACACAACAGACTGCATGTTAGATGATCCACTGGACTGATGACTTTTAGATAAACTGGATCTGACGGTTTGTTACTGTGCAGAGTGAAGATGTAGCTCATCCTAAACTTTACCAATATGTTAATAACAATAATTATAAATAATACATTTTATTTAAAGGACATTGTACATACATTACACACACTGATTAAAAGAAACAACATTAAAAATCAGTAAAATCACTAAATTAAACAGACAGAACAATAGGCTTCAGGGGGAGTAGGCAGTCCTAAATAGATGAGTTTTAAGTTGTGATTTGAATTGGGGGAGTGAATCGATGTTTCTGAGTTGGGATGGTAGTGAATTCCAGATACGGAGGGATGGAGGGATTTGTGAGAGAGACCAAAGAGGAGAGAATTACAATAATCCAGATGGGAAGTGACGAGATTGTGGACGAGGATGGCAGCAGTGTTGGGGGAAAGGGAGGGGCGAAGGCAAATGATGTTACGTAGGTGGAAGTAGGCAGACCTGGTGATGTTATTGATGTGGGATTGGAAGGACAATGTGCTGTCAAGGATGACCAGGATGTCGCCAGACTAATCTGTCAGATCAATCAATTCTGTTTCTCAGAATCAGAGACTGAAGGATGTTCTGTGTCCTTGAACCTCAGAGCAAAAATGAAAGCTCTGGAAAGTCCTTCATGGTGACTGAACAGATCAGTTTCTGAGTCTGCATGGACTGAGGAACTGAGATGTACCCCCACAGTTTCTGCTCCGTCTCACAATCTGTTCACAGTCTAATGGTTTGTTATTTGGGACCCAAAACTAAGCTCTGAAAAATATGTTGGCTGAATTTTGAGAATTTCAGATGTTTACAGATTGAATAATTTTTGTATTTTCCCCTTTAAAAAAAAAAAAAAAACCCTGTAAAGCCATTTTCTGGGTTTAGTGTCTCCAGTAAAACTCCCACAGCCACTTTTTATTTATTGGACCTTAAAAATTTAAAAAAAAAAGGCAAAGTCTTTCAACCAGTGTGGTATTGTGTCCCCAGTAGGTTCCTATCAGTGTATATATGAAAGTATCCATATTTCTACTAAAAGCACAGTATGTGGTGTGTTTGTGTCTTGTTTGCTGCATTTTGTTTCTCATTTGTCCTTTTGTGACTCATTTTTCCTGTTTTGTGTTTCTTTGGGACAGCTGTGTGTCTTTATGTGCTCATTTTGTGTCTCATATTTATCATTTAATGTCACTTTTTGGTCCATTTTAGTCTCTCTGGGACAGTTGTGTCTCTCTGCGTGGTCATTTTGTGTTTCTTTTTGGTGGATTTATGTTTCTTTTGGACAGATTTGTTATGTTCCTGGCAAGGATAACATCTGAACAAACCTGAGACGGTGCAGCAGCTTATATCCTGAACAGTGTCTGACCTGACTGAGCTTGCTAACAGCTTCACACCAACCTTCGGTGCAAACAGTCCAACCAGGATGAAGACGTTGCAGCAGAGGACGAGGACGCCGCTCACAAAGAGCTGCACAGTAGGATCATGGGAAGTCAGCAGCGACCCCGACAGTCCCGACACGCTGAACACCGTCACAGCGAACACAGTCAGAACCAGGAGTCGGACCAAAGGTACGTCTGCAGCCCTGATGCTCCAGGAAACGAAACAGCCGAGACCCTGGCGACGAGACCAAACGCTTTAATACAGACTTCATTAAGAACTTTTTGATCCTAAAATTTCATCATTAATCAAAGTTTGTTAGTTCTGACCAGCAGAGGAGCTTTGTATGTGCAGACGGCGCTGATCCACGTCTCCATGTTGGTGCTGCTGCAGTGCTTTGAGAACGGATGAATCAGAACGCCTGGATCTGCAGGGTCCACCTGAAAAACACAGAATAACTCCGTCGGGGGCTGGATTCAGTAAATAAAGGCCTGAAAGTAAGATTTAACCTCCTCAGGTGTGCACAGGTAAACCACCCAAACACTCACATTCACACTGAGAAGGAAACACCTGAAGCTCCAGGTGACAAGTCTGGAACAGCAATACTGACTGCAGGTTACACGTGTTCACACTTTGTGTAGAAGAAACTTTTTGTTCTTTTTGTTCCTGCAGGTTTGTGACTCCTCAAAACATCAGTCCTGCTCAAATCACCACATTTTTACAATGATTTCTGCTTAACCAGCTCTGATTTACCAGATTTATAAAGATGCATATAAATATTTCAAATATTTTCTGAGCTAAACAACAACAAAAAAAGCCCATAAATTCACTTTCAGCAAGTTTTTTTTTTCTTATATTTAAGTTTGAGGCTGTTTGAACAATAATATCTCAAGAACTACCAAAGATAAAAACCTGAAATTTT